ACACACACACACACACACACACACACACACACACACACGCACACAGTTCCTGAAGGCAGCAACACAGACTGACTGCCAGCCAAAGACTCTTTGTGTGTGTATTTGTGTGTTTCTGTGTGTGTCTGCTCTTACTTAACCTTTCTATTAGAAGCCTCCAAAAAAAAGCCTCCAAAATAAGAGATTCATTCACACCAGCTGAAAAGTTTGTAACACATGGAATATTTTTGCTAAAACCCAGCATCAGTCTGATTCGTGGTCAAAATGTCTTTACATTTTCAGTCTTAAACAGATTAAACAATACGACTGAACATCTTCACCCTTTTGAATTAAAGAAAGGGGGGGCTTCTATTTGGCCACTTTAGAAATTGGTGTTTTGCTTTTTCATTAATTAAAACAAAACCTGAATCAAACACAGTGGAGGAGAAAAATCTTCATGTTCTGACATCAGCAGAGGGCAGCATTGGCTTTTCTGTCTGCCTGCATGGTGCAACATCTTCACTGCAACAAATTACACATTTTATTACTTCATGTTTTATTGTAGCACATCACCTGACTTGATGGCACTTGCTAAATTCAGCCTATTTATGTACACATTAAGAAAAGAATTAGGTGAGTAAATAAAAAYAAAAACATTGAACACATTTATTCAGTGCAGTAAAAAGAACAAGACATGTCATCGTGAGAGTTAAAGAGAACAATAAAAAGTTGTTAATTTAAATGTTCAAATGACAGTACATCTTGTTATAACATGATTTTTAATGTATTAGCAATATGTTATTATCTATTAATACATATTATTTTCTGACAACATAAAAGTATTTTTATAAAATGTAAAAAATTACATATTATATGATTGAAAACTTGATGTATTAACATGAAAAAGACTGTCTGATCAACGAACCTTTATTGATATCTATTTTTTTTTTTTTGCTGGAATTGCAGCAATATACTTTCATAAATTTGCCACTTTTGAAGTTGATTCATGTGTTTGCATTTAATGTTRCAGCAAATCATTTCCAGCTTGGCTTGTGTCCTTGTATTTCTATTAACACAAAGAAGATGCTCTTACCCCTCAAAGGTTTACTTGTACTAGGTTTTAAATATTTAGGAGCAACAAAAATACCGTTTAAACCACCAAATACGTTGGCGTTTGAAATTCTGAATMATTTTTTCAGGCTACTTTTATGTTTTTGAAGTGAACAGAACAAATGACCAAGTGAGGAAGCATGTGGTGAAACTGAAAGGTAAAGGCTGCTGCAGATGTGGAGCAGAAAGAAGAAGCGATTCTGATTTAATGAATTCACAGCAACTGCTGTTACAGTACAATCCTCACACGCCCATCAAAAAAAAAAAAAAAAAATCTGCAAGCCCCACATCCCCCTCTTTCACTTACACCATTCCCCCTCATTTTTTCCCAATGAAAGGATGAAGCCTGTTGCTAGGCAGGCAGTGCGACAGTTGCCATGGGAACGCTTGCAGACATAGCTAGAAGGGGGGGTACGTCGGGTTAGGGTGGGGATAAGGATGGGTAGCAAAAAAACAGACGGAGTGATGCAGAGGAGGTCTGAGAGTGAGTGTTTTTAATTGGGGGGAGGGGGTTCCAAGTTCACGGCCAATGCCTTCACTCCTTCTGTCTCCTCCCGCTGGGGGAGGAGACAGAGAGGTGCAGAGGAATGGTGATCATTATTTAACTCCAATTTGAGGCTTTCGCAGTCAGGGTTACCTTCTGAGAACGTGTTTTCACGCACACGCCCACCCATAAAAAGGCTGCAATAACAAAAACAACAAAAAAAAACTGTAAATAAAGGAGCAGTCAATAAAATACACCAGAGACAAGCAAAGGTGCAGAGAAAATCAAATATTTCAAGTGTCAAAAGTAAAAATAACTTGAATTCATTAGGAAGAAATAGCAACACACACACAGAGAGACTTGTTTTCAGATCCTTGTGGGGCCCGTCCATTGACTTCCATTCATTTTTTGGCTATTTTATATCCTAACCCTGACCACCAACCCTAACCCTAACCT